GATGATTGGCTCAGCATACAGATTGTATACCTATGGTGAAAGAATATGTTCTCCACATATCCCTGACATAGAAGGTGTCTTTTGGGGCTGTGATGCCGGATGAGATTGTACTTTTCTCCTTTCTCTTGCAGAAACGGGGAAGATCGACCCAGAAATTCACAAGTACAACACCCCGGGCTTCACTGGCTGTCTCTCCCGGGTCCAGTTCAACCGCATTGCCCCCCTCAAGGCCGCCCTGCGACAGACCAACGCCTCAGCCCAGGTGTACGTGCAGGGTCAGCTTGTGGAGTCCAACTGCGGTGCCTCCCCGCTAACCATCGCCCCCATGTCGGCTGCCACCGACCCCTGGCACCTGGACCACCTGGAGTCAGGTATGTGCACAACAGCCTGTGTTTAAGCCTCAGTTTTCTCCACTGTGAATGGGTCAATAACAGAGCTAACATGTGAGGTCACTGGAGGGATCACGGCAGCCTGTGAGTCCAGGTATCCTGGCACCTGGGCAGCACATACCACATTCTCAAAAGTCACACGACTGTACCGCTCGTGTTGGTCCTGCCTGACACCTCCGGGTAGGTTCAAACTGCCCACGGTGCGGTTAGGAGCAAAGCCTCAACTCTCTGTGGCCCCTCAGACTCCCCATTTAAGTTAAATTACAAGATGCCTAAACTGACATCTGGGACGTGCCATGGGAAAGTCTCGGTTCAAACCCACCAACTGCTCCTAGGAAACCCTGTACAGGGTCACTATGAGTCAGAACCGACTTAATGGCACTTAACAACAACCGCATGTGCCCCAGCCTCAGGAGGGGCAATGTCCCCAACCCCCTACTCACACAGGTCCTCTCTGGGCCTCCTGGTGTTGACCAAGGGCCGCTGGCTGCTTGGGGCTACGGTGAAAGCTGGGAGCTGCTGGCAGCAAAATTACTGTCATGAAAAGTCAGTGTCCACGAAGCACCGCAGATTACTTATCAAATTCAGTTTCTCCGTCTTTCAAGTGGCAAGCATAAGGCAGACACTGAGACTTCTTAGCCTTAGCACAGGCACTGCTGGGAGCCCACTTCACAGAACCAGACTGGAAGTGTCATGGTCACGGCTGTATTTACATGAGACCCGCCTCGCTGCCCAGCAAGCTCCCCAAACCCTGCCCCCGACGCTGCGTCTGTATGTATGTGTGTCTGTGGTGGGGTTTGTGCATGTGTGTACTGTGTGCATATGCATATGTATATCCATGTGTCTGTGTGTGTCCATGTGTGTATGTTTGGGCGTGTGTGCATCTGTGTGTCTGCATGTGTATATGTATGTCTGTGTATGTATGCATGGCGGTGTGTGTATTATGTATGTGCCTATGTTTGTATGTGTGTATATATGTATGTGTCCATGTGCATGTGTGTTCATGTGTGCTTACCTATGCGTTAGTGTGTGTACCTGTGTATCCGTGTGTGTCCATGCATGTACATGTGTGTGCTCGTATGTGTATGTTGTGTATGTATATTTGCCTTTTGCCCATTTCATACTGGGTTATCTTTTTGTGGTTGAGTTTTGGGGTTCTAGAACTTTTATCTGAATATTGCATAATAACAGAAATGTCCCGTGTACTTTCATGATATCAATAAAAGTATCTCACATAAAGCATGATTCTTAAGAAAGAAATAAACTCAGACTCTTGGCCCCTATACTGACATCAACCCTAAAACCATTTGCTAAGTAAGTATGATGTCCAGGCTCGGACACTGACCCAAAGCTGCACCTTGCTGGTCTCCTTCTGTGAGGTGGACCTGTGTTCTGAGGCCATATGGTCTGTCCCTGTGGTCAGCACCCTCCAGTCCTTAGGAATACATCCTCTCCAGCACATTAGTGAGTGACAGAACCCAGAATGTGGTCAACCAGGGCCTCACTGGGTGCCCAGAGTCTCTGTGGAGGCTTCAGGATTTGGCTTGATTGATAGAGACATCATGTCTCATACTTCAGACGTGTTATCAGGAGGGGCCAGTCCCTGGAGAAGGATAAAGAGGGAGACCCCCAGCAAGCTGGGTTGGCACCATGCCTGCAGCCATGACCTCAAGGTCAGCAACAGTTGTGAGGATGGTACAGGACGGGACAGTGTTTCGTTGTGTTGTGCATCGTGTTGCTCACAGTTGGAACCAAGTCTGCAGCACCTAACAACGACAACGTGCAGTGTCCTTCTTTAGCAGTTGGTCCAAGTAAGTGAGCCAAAGTCTCACCGCTCTGGCTTCTAAGGAGCATTCTGGCTGCACTTTCTCCAAGACAGATTTCTTCATTCTCTGGCAGTTCTTTGTTTGGTGTTGTTAAATGCTGTCAAGTCATTTCCAGTTCATAGTGACCCTGTAGAGTGTTTCTGAGGAGCAGCTGGTGGGCTTGAACTACCGAGCTTGGGGTTAGCAGTCCAGTGCCTACTGTACAGAGCCACACTAGGACTCATGTGTATTCAACGCTCTTCACCAACACCACAGTTCAAATGCGTGAGCGCTGCTCTGCCTTCCTTATCCATTGTGCAGCTTTTGCAGGACAGATTTGCTTGTTAAAACTTGAAAGGGGCCTTTTGCAGCAGATTTGCCCAATGCCATATGTCATTTGATTTTTTTCTTGCTGCTTCCATGAATGTCGATTGTGGATTCAAGAAAACTGAAATCCTTGTCAACTTCAGTCTTTTCTCCGTGTATCATACTGTGGCTGATTGGTCCCATTGCAAATACTTTTGTTCTCTTTATGTTGAGGTATAATCCTTACCAAAGGTCTTTGATCTTCATCAATACGTGATCTTCGCTTCTAGTAAGCAAGGTTGTGTCATCTGCCACATCCCACACTGAAAATAGCAAGCTTGGCTTCTAGAGACCCTACTGGCTTCATCGCTATGATTGTTAATGAGGCAATTTCTTATCTATATTCAAAACTTGTTCCATCTGAACAGAAAAGATTTTATATCTTCAGTTACAAAAAGCTATGGAAATGGTGAACGTTTAAGAGCTGCATATATATCTCTTCAGTTTCCTTCACAATTACAAGCTAGTGGTTGGTTTTCTTTGCCACCTGCAAGCTCTTAAAATAATCTCTCCTTCTCCTATAATTACATCTTAATTATTTCTAGCAGATTCCTTTTCTCATCTTTATGCTAAAACTACATGGTTAATGCATTGAGTCTCTTACACTTAATATTTTTATGATATTAGTTGTCTTTCTCCCTCTTCAGTGACCAATATATTTATTCAAGTGCATAGAAAATTGTCACCCACCCCACCCCCGTTTGTTAATTAGTGGTTTTCTTCAAAGGAACCAGATTTTTCTAGGAGTTTTGTGCTAGAGAACAAAAGATCGCAGATTCAAGCGTAGTCTGTCTGTAGAGACCCTTTATTAAGCCTTAAATAGGACAAAGACGAGCAAACATCGCGTCTCAGATGAGGGGACTGTCCGCAGGTGCACGGGACTGAAGCTAAATGGAGTTCAGTGATCACAGTCGGGGCGCTCATTGTATCGGATGGAAAATAAAACCATGATTGTTGGCAGTTCAGTTCATCACTGCTGCAGGAGGACCCCAAAAGTGGGGAATGGGCTAAAATTGAGGTAGGAGCAGATTTTAAAATCTTGCAGGATTGGTTTTGGGGCGTCAGCGTAGTGGTTGGGATATGACTCAAGACCACGCAGCCCTGAATGCTTGTCCCCAACTTTTCATTTGAACTAGACAACTTGCAACTATTGTCAGTAAATCATTAAGGGCATGCCCGGCACATTCCCTGGTTTTCTATGTAAGCCTGAGGGAAAAACTGCGTCTGGAAGAGCTTTCCTGGGTTCTTCAGGGTCACAATGGCAGTTCAGTGGCATTGGGAACGTAGCATAGAACTCAGAACAGCAGCTGTACTATGTAAGTCAAGACTCAACATGGAGACGGAGCAGGGCTCCCGCTGTAGACGACAGCCTGCCACAAACCAAGGGCTTCCCAATGCAAGCTGTCCTCAGACTACAGTCAGGGTGTCAGCAATGGCCTACTCTCGTTGGCTCTGAGGAGAAGGCCCTTCATCATCTCTCCCGGCTTCAGTGACCTCAGGAGCACCTCAGTTGTTCCAAAGCCCCAGCACTCACTAGTGACCCCATGTGGGGTACTTTGTCCCTGGTTCCCTTTAATATAATGTAACTTGTGAGCACAGAGGGGAACCAGCAACTACAAACCCCAACAAGGGAGAGTGTACGGGCTGAGCATGCCCAGTCCCAACCCTGAGGCAAGCTCTTTGTTAGGACTTCCCAACTATCTTCAGGACGGACTGCAAGGGGCTGCGGAGAGGTGTCTCAGACGCTGACAGCCCAGAAAGTTTGACCAAATTGCTGTCCCACTAGTAACTGAGTATCCCTGGCTAGAGAGAGCCATCATGGGCAAAAGACCCGTAGCATCCAGTCCTTTTTCGGAATACCAACTGAAGTATGGCAGCAGGAACGGACCGGTGATTGAAAACCTAGTATCAACTGAACATGAACAAAGAGCCAGTTAATCCACCAAGAAATCTCAAGACGGTGTATTTTATCTGAGTGCTGACTTTGTGGGTGTCAAGTCTGGGGGTCTGCCGATAATGAAAATATCTAGAAATCAGACAGAAAAGTACAAAATCAGCCTGTCTGCTTCCTGGAAAGCCAAGTAGAGATGAGAGGTTGGCTAAGAAACAGTGGAGGGAGGGAACGTGCTCAATCTAAGTGCTTGTTCAGTCCTTTGTACAAAAGTCGGTGCTTCGTTAACAATCAAGACATGACTCTGAAATAATGACAACTTCATTTATTCTGGTTCTTTTCACCCAATCTACCCCTTCATCGAGGAGCCTGGATGCACAGACCTCTCCTCCTTCCCATCATGCATCAGCACCAGCACCAGTACCACAACCAGAACCAGTATAGTACCAGTACCAGCAAACTAATTATCATTGAGTTGACTCCAATTCATGAGACCCCATGAGTGTTGAGTAGAAGAACTGTGCCCACAGGGTTCTCAGTGGGTGATGTTTCATAAGTAGATCCCACTCATGGTGCCCCGTATGTGTCAGAGTAGAACTGTGCTCCACAGGGTTCTCAGTGGGTGATTTTCCATAAGTAGATTCCA